ATCGTATCGATGTACCGAAGTGTCTTAGTATCCATATTTCAGTACGCATATCTATCAGTATTTAACATGCATATGCTGTCAGGAAGAGCCGAAATGACTCAAGTAGCATATCAGAGCACAAGAGTAACGCAGCTGCTTTAGTACCCAGCAGTGCACTACAGTCGTCTGCTTCTACCCTTGCTATGCTTGTATCAGGGAACACAAGGCCGTTCGCCATACGGGTGTTACTATTTTGAATTCAGGCATTTAGCCATCAGGGGCGGGAGGTCAATTTTAGTAATTTATTCTGCGCGAGGGACCAAGACGGAAAACACATTGGCGATCATAGCTGAGGTGAGACACACACGTTGTTTGGCAAGGTGCTGCGGCATATCAAATACTTTGTTAGATATCTACCTTCATATCACGGAAAAGTGGTGGGACAGTGGGGGAAAATGTTTCCTGTTTCCATTTTTTGGGAAAAATACGGTGCCCAATAACACACAATGCATATGCAAAAAGTTTCATCATGCACTGCGTGCTGTGATGAGTGGGGGGGGGTCTTGCCCATGCCATGGGCAGCGGGAAGGCGTATGTGCAAATTGGATGTGGAACTGTAGGCATATACCCTTATGGTCTATCGGTTTTGTAAATTTGTGTAATATGTACAAAACAACGTATGAGCGTACGTATGTCATTTGTCCTCGATTTCTTAAAATTGCCACAAAATATCAAAATGTCGCCGATGTATTTAAATTGCCACGCCGCGTATTTCAATAAGGAATCCTGAAATGTAGAAGATGGCCATCTGGTTTGATGCTGTTCCGTTTAATCAAACCACGAATTATCCTCTTCACTAGCCAGGCACTGTTCTTGGGAATTCATATACAAAACAACGAACACAGGATACAGAATGGCTGGTTTGTCTCATATAAAGGCTACATATTTTTTTATGCAAGCCATGTTGACAATACAGCTCATTAGTAGAACCCACTGGTTCTTGCAGTCAGAATGCTTCAAACATGCGTGTTGGTTGGTTGGATAATATCTGTAATTAAGTTTTGGTAAAGGGAAAAATCAAATATGCTGAGGTGTGCCACATTTGTCTGCTTATGATGACGGACGCAAAGACGGGTTGAGCCAATTCGTTAAGAACATTTTTGCTAAGTCTTACCAGGCCAGCTTGGTAAAGCCATCTGAAAAAGGTCGCAGTGGCGTGCGGGCTGGGTTCTAGAAAGCCGGAATGGACCAGACCGAATGCTAGAAACTCAGTATGTGCGGGTGTCTAGCTCTTTACTGCTGTATACACACGGCACATTAAGACGATCATCATCAGTTGCCAATTCAGTTGATGTCGGTAATTGTAGGGCATCAGAATTGCCTCCTAACAGCTCTGCTGTAAGGCCCGGCCATCGACATATAAAAGAGAGCATTTTGGGATAGTCTCGTATACATACGCAAACCCTTGCTCCGTATTGAGTCTGCATAGTATCTCAACACCACGCGTCGTTTCACAGCGCAACAAAAATGGATGAGTATCGGCGGCCTTTAGCACCAGTTACGCGCAAAATCTTCCCCGTTGATTGTGTGCAACTCTCAAGTTTGTATCCCGGCAATTCCGCGCAGTAAGCGAGTTATTTCTGGACTGTAATTGTGTAGTGTGCCCCAGTCCTCGGGTTATCTGGCGAAACGATTCGTTCGCAGCCTATCGGGGTCCATCCCGGCGGGAGAAGCGCTCCCCATGCGACAAAATAGTTAAACAAATCCTCTGAATCTCGACCAAGTTCGGCGGACTTCTCTAAACCAGCGGAGAAAACTCTCGCATATTTTTGTAATTGCCACTTCTCTGAGCATGCTCACGCTCCGTCGTAACCTGATGGAATCGAGGGAGAGGTCTGGACCAGACACATAAACGTCTGTTATGACCGACGTCGAAGGCTGTGGTCTACCAGGCTCCGTGGGGCCGAAATGGAGACAGGCCGGATCTCCCCAGCTCTCGTATGATTGGATTCGATGCGGACACGGTTAGAGTTGAACTTCACTAGAGAATACGCTGCTGGAAAGTGCAGTCCAAATCCGCTGTTGAGGGATATACATGGCAGCGTGCTGATTAATATGTTGGGGTGTGTTTACCAGGATCACAATAAAGTGCAGTCCCAATCCGCTGTTGAGGGACATACATGGCAGCGTGCTGATTAATATGTTGGGGTGTGTTTACCAGAGCCTTCGAAACAGATGGAGGAAGAAATAAGGCGTAACAATATTCAACCGTAAACGATATTCTTGCGTAAGTATTTCATTCAACTCAAGAAAAACCTTAACTCTTGCGCATGCAACTTTTACCAGAGTTATTAAGCATGTCACCTTATCCACAAAAATTCACTGTTACTCTTGAGCTGACAGCTGCGGGTCAGCAACGAATCACGAAATGCAGATACTATCTGTTTGGTGCTGTATCATGACATTCAAAGATAAATATTGCCCTTTTTCTCAGCCCATGTCGTGCTTTAGAATTTAGGGCCTTGACGCTAAATACAGGATTTAGAATGTCAGATTGTTTCCAGATGCATGTTAAAATGTACTTCCCTGTAAGCCAGGTTAATGTGCTGACTTCTTCAGCTGACTGCGCTGATTCTTGCAACCAGAATGAATGTTTCAAAATGGCTTTCAATGAGTTGGCGTATTCGGTCGGCAGCTGAGGATTTATAACGTCGCCACTGTCACCGTGGCAGTAAAGACGGGCACCGTATGGAATCGACCCCGGCACATCTGACTTTGCCAGCCGCGCTGCACGTGACAGGTCATTACACATGTGCGCACTGCCCAGCCCGCCGTATATCCTCCACCATCTGCCATGTCCCAGGTCCCTGTCCGCCGAAGATCTATGCTTGCAGCGGTCATGTGCACACTAACGAGAAATTGACGTCACATGCAGCTTTGTCGCCCCGTCGCTACCCGCTTGGCATATTTGGAACTAGGAATTTACAGTTCATAGTTTGCATATGCTCCAGCTGCTGTTGTTCCGTAACTTTTACTGCTAGGGTGAACAATCGTGAATCAATGGAAAGTTGATCTTTCGTTTCGTGGAAGTGATCGGTTTCTTTCATCGACAGCATTCAAGTTAATATTGACAGTCTGTTGCGCGGCTCGCTTGCTGCGCGTCTCGAGACTCCTTGATAGCACTCAGTTGACCTTCGAGAGGGTGAATGATGTTGTGGGGTCTGTGGACGCGCAAACTTTAGGCTCCTAGACTGCATAAGTTATTTGGAGGCCAAATTTGAACACAGAGAGCTGCGAAAGATCCAGGGTCCACTGCCAGAGAGCTGCGAAAGATCCAGGGTCCACTGCCCTTCCTCTGCAACGCCCCTGTCAAGCCCTTCGAATATTGTATCGTACCGCAACATGCAGAGATCCGGGAATTCAACTTGCCTCGCTTCGAACGCATATCTTGGTCGTAAGACACCAAGCGACACTCTTAGGGCCGGAGGTACTGAGGTGATCACCAGCGCGTGACGAGCCTTGGAGTCTGAAGCGGTGCGCGGCTGGTCGCCACCCTACAGCAGCTGTAGCAGCCTGGACAGCGGCTTGCCAGGCATGGCGAAAACAAGGGTGCTAGGAGGGGAAAAGAGGGAAGCCCAATCTCCGGGAGGGCTGAGCATGTGTCCAACACTTTTGTTGTGTATTCAGTCATGAAGTTCTATGAGAAACGAGTCAAAATCACGTTCTCCCATCTTCTGACAGGAACCACTACAAATGCAGCTGAGTGTATGTGGGGTGGTCACTACGAACACACCTTATGTGTTGAGTGTGAGCAGTTCGTTTGGTTACTATCCATCTTTAGTATTTGTTTAACTTATCTTAGAGCATGCGGAGATTCAGAGTTTCGCTTTGAGCACGAGCCCTCTGAGAAGAGACCTTCTCAACCTCTGACTCCTGATATATTGTTTTCTTTTTATGACAAATGGTGGTCAGGCCTCGAATAAAGGTACCGTTTCCGCAATATATACAATTTAGACGCAATTAGAGGGTGTAACATAGACTGTTGGGCCTGAACTCATCACAACCTTTACATCAACGAGCGGACATTTAACAAACAACGCTCAACTCAGGAGACCACCGGCTTATGTTCCGATGCCAGTTCAGCAGTCTTACCCGGCGCACGGTCGCCCTTCTCGTCGTCATGACGGTTCTCCTCAGTCTACGCTTCATCTTACGGCACCTGGAATAACGATCAGCCACGAGATACACAGTCAGCGGAGAAAGATATTGGTTCAGATGAAGAAATATATCGGCGCAGATGCTTGCACTTGCCGCATGGCACCATAACGCCACGCACCGGCTCTGGATGACCTAGCCAAACCCAAGACCGATGGGATGGGGACACTCCAAAAAGACGCTACACCACAGCTGCGGCATTGCACGCCAATCGGCGGGCGCACGTTACTGTGGCGTGGTGGAAACGGCAGCAGCGCCCGGCGCCGGTGGTCGTTTATCAGCAGAGCTGTCTCCATTCATACTGCCTCGGCGCACAATGGACCAACGGTGTACCATTATACGGGATGACATATCGTCGCACACTTGAGGTATCTTTATGTTGACATTTGCAAATGAAAATACTCGCGTAGTGAACCCCTCTCGCTCTCTCTTTTCTTCACAACCGTTATTTGTCGCAGGCTTCACAGGTTATTAAAGCGTCCTCAACACCGAAACAACGTTCTGCTACGAAATAGCAGAACGTAGCTTAATTTCACTGTGGAGCCTCTAACAGGCTTCAAACGACGCCGGCATCGTACATCATCGCACAGCTAGACTATTATCGACGTCAAGCACCGTTAGTTCCCGCACCTTCAGTGCACCACTTTCCACACGGCCTCACCATTTTTGCAACAACGGTCTACATCACATCGGTGCACGCACGCTTGAACCATCACATCGCGGCTGTCCCACATGTCCCTCTCCTACTGCGCACTCGACACTACTCCCACTGCGCACTCGTCCCTGGTGCATCAGTCGCCGTCGGCCTAAATTGACGCCTCGAGCGGCACGCGCTGGTACGTGCCGTCGCTCTCGAGCAGCACGCAGACGCGACCGGCCGGTGCGCCGTTCTCGCTGAGCTCGGTGGCAGCCAGCTCGGCGCGTCTCGTCGTCACCGAGTCGGCGGGGGACGGCGAGCGGCGCACGTGGCGCAGCTGGCCGAGACGCCCCGTTCGCCAGCCAGTCGGCGCCATCAACGGCGACCCCGGGCTCGGACAGTTGCCTTCGCTCTTGGAGAGACCGTGGCGGTGGCGCGCGCCGCAGCCGCCGCCACACAGGTCTGTCTGGCTGCGCGCGTGCGCCGGCTCCGAGCGGTTGCGCGGCGAGACGTTGTCGCCGCAGTGCACGCAGCACAGCTGGACGCCGGGGTGCGGCGGTCGCGCCTGCAGAGCCAGCTCGTCGCAGCTGGGCATGCCGGCTGCCGTGCGCCCTCGCTCTGAGCTGTGGCTGTGCCGGAACACGGCCAGCATCTTCTTGGAGGTGCGCCGCGCCGGCCGACGCCGCCGGCAGCACAGCGTCTCGCGGAACGCCACGCGGAACCGCTTCGACATCACGTTGTAGAGCACCGGATTGATGGCCGAGTTGAAGTAATACAGGACGCCTGGAACAGCGTGCAGCTGTCGTTAGAAGTAGTGCAAGAAAAGAGGGGCAGTAGGGAGAAGAGCAACTCCTGCTATAGTTTCTGAGGCCGCAAAGGAAGTAGGATAAGAATTCATCCAACCAACTGATGTTTGAAAACATCACTACGCCGCGCTGTTGACTCCAATGTCGCCTTTTTCTTTCACAAACACTTGTTCAGCATTTACCGCCTTTCGTTTTGGCACACTTGAAGATTAACATTATAACCATTCCAGTTGTGATGGTTACTTAAGCGTTAAGCTTGTCCATTTCGTGCAGCCAGCATGCAAGCTTTCAGTGGTCTCTGCACATCGTGACACAAGCATTTTTGTTGTTGGGTCAGCAGTGTTAGGTCGCATCAGCATAACTTTCACGGTTTTCTTTGCTGTCATTAAGATCCCCATCAAATAGCAACACTCGGGTGGCAGGCTGAATGCGACGCGATGAGTGGGCTGGGCTCAATTTGACCCTCTGAAATGCACTAGTTAGAGATACAAAATTACAGGATACATAAAACTTCAAAATGGACCCAATGTCGAAAGTGCACTCACACCTTCTGACTCATTCAACTTTTATCTTGATGTCTTTTCCCAGAAAAGATAAGTGAAGACCTTTTCAGGTCACAGACTTCATCTGACCTTTGAGAGATTCAAATCACGAATGTAAAACGGTCAACATGAGGTAAAAAATATGTTGCGATTATTTTCGCCTTGGATTTTAAGTCAGCGTCCAGAACTAGATTAAGTAGCAAATTCCTCATCGCAAAGTATTTACCAATGATATTCTTGAGCATTGATCCACTTGACCACCGTAATTTACATACGAGTCAACACAAGACATTTGTGAACGTCTCTGTGATCAAAGAACTCAAAATAAATGTCACAAACTAACCTCAAAAGACAATTTTTCAGTAAAAAGCTGTTTGATTTTAACCTCGATCTGACCTTCATAACTGAACCACGGACAACGTAATTAGTCATCATGCTGATTTGTATTTTCTGATTAACTAAAAAGCCATCATGAAATCGTATGCCTCTGATTGACTCTGCAGTCGCATTGGCTTGGAAAGCTGCCCAAGAACTGCCTCTGGTAGCTACTAGTACCACGTTTTGACGCCTGGAGTCAAATATGGTCTATATAAAAAGAATATATCGGCGGTGTTGGAAGGTATAGACTATTTCATTCTTCAACAAAGCGGCTACTCAAATATCTACAGCTACCCCACTAAACCTTTTCTACGCGTCGTATGATTAAGAAGGTCTCATGGAAAAATCGTAGCGGTCAAATTAACCCCAATCCAGTGCATGCCGTCCCACCCGCATACGCCTCTTTCAATGCGCAACGCGACCTTGCGATTGGTCCCAGGTTTTGATTAGCTTGAATAATAATTAGTTTTACTAGGTCAGGTCAAATGTCAACTTTTTACGGAAACAGGACTTTTTTCAGCTTAATGTATTTGTACTTACGGAACGATACAAGGTGGTAACACGGATTGAGCATATGAGTCTAATTTGTGCGATGCTGAGCACATTAATTTTGTTTAAGGCGGACTGCATGATGCAAGGGTTCCAGGAATGCAACACTGTCACCCGTCCGTGCATGACTGACAGATCCAACCGTTAGCGACCCAACCACTCCACCTTAGGGCCGCGCGCGATACTGAATTGCCAGGAGAACAACGGTAAAATTGCGCCCGCCTGCGGCACGGTAAACTTGGTGTTCGGTGGAAATATTCGTGTTGTGCGCCATGTCCCACTGTGAACTTTGCGTACGCCCCTGAGTATTCCTACCGAAAAGTCTCCCATCAAAAACCAGGCAAGCTAGAGACGCGTATTGGGTATCAAAACACGCCTGACGAACATACGGGGGCGGGCGCCACAGGACCAACGTAGTTGGCGCGTCCCAAAGCCCAAATCATCACCATCATCAACCAAAAATTCTGGGCGCGATTGCGCAAAATGTCATGGAGATACCCGCAAAAAAGAGCGTATAACTGCGTAGTACGACCCCCTCATCCCTACTCCTCTATCAGGGCGAGGGACAACATCAATCTAGCTGGTGTTACTGCACCAAAAGACAGGTGGCTGGGCTGGGCTGGAAGCCGGCCAGCGGCGTTGTTAAAAATATCCTGTTTGCGTGTCCAAAAATGAGTACCACGGACCGCTTCAATCGCATCGTTAGTTGAAAAACCGTCGGCAGCTGGCGGCGGGCAGCTGGCGCCTCGCAACAAAACAGCCCACAACTGCAGCCCAGCCGCGCGCGATTATTCGCCACCCGGCCGGTGGCAAAGGAGATAATGGCGACGCCCCCCCCCCCCCCCCCCCACCCCGTCATTCTCCAAGCGCCGCCCGACGCGTCTCCCCGGCCCACGCTGGCCGCCGCTGGCGCGCCAAACGCCCATCGCCTGCCAGCCGACGGCATCGTCTATGCCTGACGCCGACCCGGCGCCGCTCTACCGAGCCTGGCGATGATTTTTCATTTCGAGAGCCCGTCCCCGACAGCAGACTGCCTGCACATGCCGAATGAACCACGCGAGCTGCATGATAGCATGCTTCTTCTCGCGAGCTGTCCTGTGAAACAAGTTCATCTCAGGTGCCTGGGTCATGTGAGACCAGGCACCGGCCCAGACCCCAACGGCACGATTGCTATCTCAGAGGCGGATTGCGCAACACAAGCTCCCCTCAGGTACTTATGGCACAAACGCTGCTCTCGTGATACCCCCTCCCCCATCCCTGCAGTGCGTCTCCAGTGATGCAGCCCTCTACGAAAGCTGACTTCCGTCACAAGTCTCCCTTCGTCGCCTGACTCTCGTGTTACGACTCCCCTGCGGCGCGCGGCCGCCGCCCCACCGCCCCGCTTGCTGCCGTGACACGGCACTGGCCAATCACGGGCCCCACCGGGCGAACACGCACCGCTGCCCATCGCCCCCTGGCATCACCGACGGCTGCAGGATTAGATTGCAAGGGGTTGAGGGGAGGGGCGACAGAAGGGCGAGCGCCTCCTGGGCTGCCGACGGGACCGAAATTGGAGAGGGGTGAGGGGAGGGGCGACAGAGGGGCGAGCACCTTCGGGCTGCCGACGGGACCGAGATTGGAAGAGGCTGAGGGGAGGGGCGACAGAAGCGCGAGCGCCTCCTGTGCTGCCGACGGGACCGAGATTGGAAATCGGTGCGAGAACGAGCGGCTGGCCAGAGGACACTTAACTTATGGCGCCGCGGCAGATGCCATTGAGACGGCAAAGCATGCATTGCTTCGGTCAACACCCGTGCTATCATCGTAAGTATTGTACTGTATTGTCAACTTGTGCAGACGCACTCGCGTAGGAAGTGGGTTGCCAGCGTTGGCGTTTCTCCACACCCCAATGCTTAACGGTCTGAGCACAGGATACTGCTGTGCTGAACGATACAATTAGGTACCCATGGAGTGCAGGCAACGGAAAGGTTATTATACCAGCTGGGGTAAGATTAACTCTTTCCAAATAAGATGATGAGTCTGCTCCTGCCAAGGGGTCTGATCTTCGGCTTTCTGCGCAAATTGCCTAGCACCTTATCTGCACTGTAGTTTCTTCCGTACTCCATTTCACTTCATGCAGGGCTGGACTATCATTTGATGGGTCATCGCAAAAACGATCAGCCCCGTGGTCTGACAGTGACAACACTAGCCACCACTCTCGGTAGACGTGCTTCATTCGTCTTCGGAACGCTTGGTTACCCACATGGATATATCATGAGATCACTGGCCGATCGGCTGTCGCTTGGGTGGCGAGCAGAGACCCAATCAGCGCGTGGTGGAAGGTTTGGTTTCTTATTAAAATGTTGGGATTAAATGTTGCGTAGCATTGGCTCAGCCACATCCACAGAGCAGATCAGTTGTGATACCAAATGTGACAAGTTTCAAAATGTTGTGCAAACCGATAACAGCGTGGATGGGAGTAAAGTAAAGCAAAGAGCAAAACATTAGTCGTTTTGGTTGCTTTTCTTCAGAATCCAAAAGCTGGCCAATTTCGGAAATTATTGATAGCGCCTGTGCATGCCTTACTTTAGGTTCATGAACTCTTTCACTTGTTTTTAGATGCAGTTAAAAGATGTTTCTGAAGTGCAAGACATATTTGCCAGTATTCCACAAATCACCATCCACTATAAAAGAAACGGAATTATTTTGGCCCTTATTCTGGTCTCGAAAACCAGGGAAGGCAACACCGTTAGTCACTTGTCAAACAACCATAGTCAAGGATTTCTGAAGACGTGTTACATATATTCAAACGATGTGGGGATTTCGATCAAATTAAAATAATGTACCAAATGTTATTAACAACAAATCTACAGAACTTCCAGCACAGTAATGCTCTCGATATACTGGTTTGCCACTTTCCAATTATCGGCACTTCGCAAATGAGGTCTTGGGGATGCTTTGGTGAGCCAAGAATGACTAAATATTAATAATTTATGAATTTCAGGACAAATGCATCTTCGCACAATACAAATTATCTCCGTGTAAGCATCTCTTTGTAATTACTTTTAGATGCACGCTGCTTCTTCAGTTTGTGCTCATGCTTTGAGGGAGCTTTGTCATGATCAGTCATGACCAAATTGTGTACCTAACAAAGTAAGGACATAAAGAATCTTGGTAGATATAGGAAGAAGAAAAACACGCTGAATACCTTGCTTATCATCAATCGCCAGCCTTACTTCTCTCTCTCTCTCTCTCTCTCTCTCTCTCTCTCTCTCTCTCTCTCTCTCTCTCTCTCTCTCTCTCTCTCTCTCTCTCTCTCTCTCTCTCTCTCTCTCTCTCTCTCTCTCTCTCTCTCTCTCTCTCTCTCTCTCTCTCTCTCTCTCTCTCTCTCTCTCTCTCTCTCTCTCTCTCTCTCTCTTCTCTCTCTCTCCTCTCTCTCCATCTCTCTCTCTCTCTCTCTCTCTCTCTCTCTCTCTCTCTCTCTCTCTCTCTCTCTCTCTCTCTCTCTCTCTCTCTCTCTCTCTCTCTCTCT